TGTAAGCTGATGCCCCCCCCCATGTTATGAAGATGAGGGGCTGTTCTATAGTCCTGACACACTTTTTGTCTTATGGTGACAGAGTCCTCCATACTGTATATACAGTGCATACAGTGAGTGAGCGTTGTCGCCCTAGGACAGGAAGTGTGTTTTTGGCATATTCACCTGGTGAAAAAAATAGGGAAAAAAACCTAAAAAAGGAAACAAATGCAGCTACCATATTTAATGAAGAACTTCAGCTATGCAAAAAGTTACTTGCAATAGTGCAACCCCCGCACTGCAAAGATTAAGTGCTTGTTTTTCTCTATGGGGCTCAGAATATACACAGCCGATTCTGGTCCCGCCAGGCTGCTAGCACAGTCCCCACAGCGTCCCCCAGGGCTCCGGCAGTCTAAGTACCTGTGACATCATCACGTCTAATGCCATCCATTCTCTGGCATTAGCCATGAGGGCATTTCACAGCTGGAGCAGAGGGGAAGAGATGGGCCCTCAAGGGTTCACTGTTTGCCTAACTAGACCCAGGGCTGGATTTACTACTCTCCCTGCTGCCCCAAGGCCAGGTTCCTCAATACACCCCCCTCCCCACCAACCGCCCCACCCCCATGGAGAATGGAAACCAGATGACGGGGGCAGCAGGGTTAGTTTTAATTTTTTTTCATTGTTTCTTTGTTTTTTTTAAAGACTTTTTTAATTTTTACATTTTTATTTATCACCACCCGTTACCCTAAGGAGAACTATGGGGAAAAGCACTGACCCCATAGTTCTCCTTTAAGTTTTTGCTCTTAGGTTTAGATTTACTTTAATGTATTGGAAAACACCAGGTATTAAAAACACAACAAGGGCAATGGGAAGCCATTACTACCTTACTAAACGATATAAGCAATGGGCCTGTTTAGCTAATGTAGCCTGTTTAAGGAAAGGTTTATGTACGTGATAAATGTAATAATAAGATGGGTGTCATTTCTTCTTTCATTAGAGATTTGGGATCAGCCTGTCATTTGTGTGTCGAGAAAAGGCACTTGGTCCAGTACGCTTCCAATGCATCTTCCCCAGTGCCATGCAGCCCCTCTGGGCATTGGAGTCCAAGGGAGGCTGAAGGTAAGAGTAATGTATATCAGACTATCAATCCAACATGTGAATGACGTATCATTAATGTTATATTTAACACCATTGAAATATATACACTATGGGGTCTATTCACAAAGCTGCCGAAGGATCTGGCCGTAGCTTCGGCCGATCCTACAAAGGTTTGTTGACATCATCATCATACCTGTGTGAACGTGTTGGACATCCCATTGCGAAACCATGGGCATTAGCATGGAGTTGCCCCTCTTTGCACTCTCCTAGGAAGGCTTTCCACAAGGTTTTTGAGGAAGCCAGTGGGAGTTTGTGCCTGTTTAGTCAAGTTACAGATGATGAATGAAAAGATCTGGCTCGCAACTGGAGGTAACTCTCATCGCACCCTCAGAGAAGCCACCAGTCTGAGGAACCAGCACCTTAGTCATCACCCTTAGAAGTTTAACATCCTGGAACCTCCAAAACGTCTCGCCTAGCCCCCAAACAGTTTCACAGCATATGCCGAGGTACATCAATAAGATCCCTGAAGAAGGGTGAGCCTAAAGCCCCCCAAAATTCATCTTACCAGTCATCAATAAACTGAGCTTTACACGTGTATGACTCTTACCTAACGGGGATCCTCATCGCACCCTCAGAGAAGCCACCAGTCTGAAGAACCAGCACCTTACTCGTCACCCTTAGAAGTTTAGCATCCTGGAATCTCCAAAACGTCTCATCTAACCCCTAATTAAAGATTTGAAAGCCAGTGCCCTGAGGTGCCTACAAAATGTATGCCATGGTTTTCCAGCATATTGGGTTTAGAACATATCCTTCCACCCGACTGAGTTTCTTTTTAAATTTTTCACTATAGTTGAGAAGTGTCTTAGTTTAACCCATTCTCCCTAAAAAGTATTTTTAGGATCTTCTTCAGAGAGGGTTTAATTAACGCAGAGGTATCTTCTCTACAGATTTTGTCTGCAGCACCATCTGCTGGTGGCATATCATTTATGTTACCCATAAACATGAGATAATCGCCTCTCGACTGGGTTGATTGTGAATGGATTGAGTGACAGCTGTTATGTCTATCTGACCAATCATTTTTAGGGGTGAGGTTTTTTTTGTTGCCACGCAATGCCACAACATATATATATATACACTGAGTGGCCAGATTATTATGACCACCCCATCAGTACTTCGTTGGGCCACGAGATGACTCCACGAGATGACTTCGTTAGGCCGCCCCGTGACTCCACGAGATGGTGAAAGGTGATGCGAAATATATAAAAACATAGGCTATGCAATCCATTACCATTAGATGCCAATAGATACCATTCTATGATCTCGCTTTGGTTTTGCCGTCTGACTTTTACGCGCTGCCATAGTTATTCTGTCTCAATCGCTTAAACTATTCGGTTAGAATGCACAAATTTTTTGATGCTATTTAAAAGCAGTTACGGCATTTTCGGTAAAAGACGTCATGCTGCATTAAAACCAGCGATTCCCCTAATTGCCGCGGACAAATGGATCCGTTTTAGACTGTTTGTCTGAAATCCATATTGCAGCTAATTGAAATTTACAGAGACGTAACAGTAACTGAATTATTTTTAGAATCAATAACAGCAATCAAAGAAGACACTACGGTCTTATCTATATTTGTAAGCCCTTGTTAGTCATCTCTGTCTCCTGAATGTATTTTGACATGACTCATATGTACTGTAACTCCGCACATTGTGTTATGAATGTATGTTAAAGCTCGACTCCAGCCAAGAAGCTAAATACACGGATTAAAATACACGTAATAGTGCGGTTTTCCCTGATTTGTTTTTCTGCCCATGCAGTCCTGAAATTTACAAGCTCTGCCCAACAGCACGGTCCTGTCTGGCAGGAGAGGGAACCGGATCTTTCTCTGCTGCAGTATTAGTCGCTTTCCCACCCCCACCCTTTGACTGGACAATGAAAAGAGAAGCAGCACAGTCATGAGCTCATCTCTTTGTCTCTCTCCTCTCTGTTTCCGATCGGCATTCTGCTTGCACTGCAACACACCTCATTGGCTTCATTTGCTGCTTCTCCCTTCACCTTGTCTAAGCTCTGCTTTACAGGGACTGCAGGAGACTGATGCCAGGTTAGTGATGAGCAAACCAGGCAACGTTGGGTTCTCATTGGCAGCTTTTTGGCTCTTTTCATTGGCTTCATTTGCTGCTTCTCCCTTCACCTTGCCTAAGCTCTGCTGTACAGGGACTGCAGGAGACTGATACCAGCATAGTGATGAGCAAACCAAGCAACGTTGGGTTCTCATTGGCGGCTTTTGGCTCTTCTCATTGGCTTCTTTTGCTGCTTCTCCCTTCACCTTGTCTGAGCTCTTCAGTACAGGGACTGCAGGAGACTGATGCCGGGTTAGTGATTAGCAAACCAAGCAAATTTCAAAAATCAGCAAACCCCGAGCACAGCACCCAAACCACATTAACGTCTATGGGAGCCGAATCCTATCATTTTTGTCTGGCCTTTTCAAGACCAGTTGGTTAGAAAAAAGCATGAGCACTTCCATAGAGGACATGTACCATTGCAGAAAAAAACAAAACATACTTTTTCTTCTCAGTGAAGGGTACTGTTACAGCATATGTAGGCATGTTAGACAAGTTGCTCTTCCAGTGTTGTGGTCACAGTTTGGTGAAGGCCCTTTTTCTGTTCCACAATGACTGTCCCCTGTGTACCAAGCCAGCTCCATAAAGTCACGGTTTGGTGTTGGGGAACTCAAGTGTTCTGCACAGAGCCCTGACCTCAACCCTACGGAGCACCTTTGGGATGAAATGGAGATGGTGAGCCAGGTCTTCTCATCCAGCATCAATACCTGACCTCACAAATGGCCACAAATTCCCAAAGACACACCCCAAAATCGTGTGGAAGACCTTCCCAGAAGAGTGTTAGCAGTATATGGGAGACAACTCCATTTTAATGTCCAAGCTCTATCAAGACATGGTATGACCAGTTTGGTGCGGAGAAAATTAGGTGTCCTGCAGAGAGCCCTGACCTCAACCCTACTGAACATGGCTGTACCCTGTGAACAAAGCCAGCTCCATAAAGACATGGTTTGACCTGTTTGATGTGGAGGAACTTGTGTGTCCTTCACAGAGCCCTGACCTCAACCCTACTGAACATGACTGTACCCTGTGAACAAAGCCAGCTCCATAAAGACATGGTTTGACTTGTTTGATGTGGAGGAACTTATGTGTCCTTCAAAGAGTCCTGACCTCAACCCTACTGAACATGACTACCCTGTGAACAAGCCAGCTCCATAAAGACATGGTTTGACTTGTTTGATGTGGATGAACTTATGTATCCTTCAAAGAGTCCTGACTTCAACCCAACTGAACATGACTGTCCTGTGCTTCCAAAGCCAGCGCCATAAAGACATGGCTTGAACAGTTTCATGTGGAGAAACTTGAGTATCATGCACAGAGCCCTGACCTCAACCCTTGGGATAAATTGGAATGCCACTTGTGAACCAGGTCTTTTCTTCCAACATAAGTACCTTACTTCAGAATTGGCTGAATGGAAACCAATTCCCACAGACATTGAAAGATTTTGCGGCGCTAAATCCCCTATAGTGCTTATAACTAAATTAATACACACTTTCCTTTTAATTTAGTTATAAGCACTATAGGGAATTAAGCGCCGCAAAATATTTAAATATCTTCTTGGGGCTTTTCAGTCTGCTATTGTGGCAGCTTTATTTCCCAGATTTCTAATATTGTTTCATTATCCACAAGCGCAGATCAACAGCTTCTAATTCCCACAGACACACTTTAAAAATATTCTGCAAAAACCTTCCCAGAAGAGTGGAGGCCAACTCCATATTAAAGCCCATGGTTTTGGCATGGGATGTCCAGCAAAGCTCATATAGCTGTAATTGTTATTAGTACACAAACATTTTTTCCACACGGTGCGATTGTTGATCTATAGGGACCACATTTTTTTTAAGTGTCCAATTTAGAAGTAAAGTAAGACATTTTGTTCCATTTGATTTTCTCCAGAAGATGATGGAAGAAAGTTTCCACGACTACACAGGTATGTGCTAAGAAATGATAAGTATATGTTCCCAGTGTTGGGATTCTTTCACAATAAGAGCCAACCATGGTTTGTGTTGAATGGTTTAAAAGAAAAAAGCAGATAACAGCTGAAAGCAAGTGGCCTAGAAGTGGGAAACCACACCATGAATCCACCACCACCACCAGTTACATCCTCAAATTTACCTATTGTACACTATAGACATGTTTGATTAATTCATGCCCATATTGGGATCTTATTAATAGTTAACTATTAATAAGATCCCAATATGGACTGGGATTCATATTGTCATCTAAGGTTCACATGAATGGTTCACTACAGCACATGTTGCTGATTGATGCTGTTGTTTACTACTCACCTAAGGAAGCAGCAGATTGAATAGTTTCTGCGGAACACGTTGAGTTTTGTCTCGATCACCGAGAGTACCAGCATTCAACATATCTCGATATATATGAACTGTATGCATGCATATAACCTATGGACATAGCTTTCGAGATAGTATTTACTGTGACCTCTGCTGGCCCAGTTGACAAATGAGACAGTCTCTCAGGATGTGTGTTTGATCCGGCAACATTTGCTGTATACGTCTCATAGCATGATGTGTTTAGAACAGGGGAGCCCACAATTTTTGTGTTAAGATCTACTTTTTGAAGGACGAGCTACATGAGATCTACCAATGGAAAAAAAAACCTCCCTCTCTCTCTCTCCCCTGGCTGTCTCTCCTCGCTCTCCTGGCTGTCTTTGCTCGCTCTCCTGGCTGTCTATCCTCGCTTTCCTGGCTGTCTCTCCTTGCTCATCCTCCTGGCTGTCTCTCCATGCTCATCCTCCTGGCTGTCTCTCCTCACTCTCTCCTGGCTGTCATTCCTCTTTTTCTCTCCTGGCTGTCTCTCTTCGCTATCTTGGCTGTCTCTCCTTGCTCTCTCCCCTGGCTGTCTCTCCTTGCTCTATCTCCTGGCTGTCTCTCCTCTCTCTCTCTTTCCTGGCTGTCTCTCCTTGCTCTCCCTGTCTGTCTCTCCCCGCTCTGTTTCCTGGCTCACCTTGCTGTATTTTGCAAACAGTGCAGTGCTACAGGCTGTGTATACTAATATTCTTTGATGTAATGCATGGCACTACAACCACCAGTATCCACAAGAAAGGTGTCGGGGAGCTCGGCTCAGCAGACTCCGGCTAATAAGTAATCATGTGCGCACAGCTAAATAAATATACCAAAATGGAATAATGGGGCCGCCATTCACACCCTTCCTGATCTACCAGCATCAGCTTTGAGAGCTACTGCTAGATCACCATCTACCTAATGGGCACCCCTGGTTTAGAAGATATTGCATATGGGTATCATTCAAGTCCGCCATGGTTTTACTCATATTCAATAATTTTTGGATGTGGTCTACCCTATTTGATTGTTTATTACACTGAGAAATTAGTTTGCAGTATATCTTACTTGAGGCTTCTGTGTATTTTAGGACGCCCGGACGTGGAACAGCCATGTGAAACAAGTGTCCGTACATGGAGTCCTGGAGCCAACGACAACTCTGTCCCTCCTGCCTGCACTGAATCTCTTGGATGCTATCTGCAGCTGGAGTTTTTATATCCGGTGATCCCGCAAACCCTTACAATCTGGGTGACCTTTATTACTACAGAATCTGACACAAATGGAGCTGAGGTGGATGTCCGAATCCTCCTAGTCAATGGGGAGATTTTGCACTTGGGACCTCAGAACATCTTCTGTGACGTTCCACTAACAATTAAGCTGGATTACATTACGGTAGAGATGTATGGTATCCAGATCCACACCAAGGACAACCAAATGGAGATTGATGCAGCTATGATCACTTCAGTGCCTAACTGTCCTCTGTGTGCCAACTGCAAGCCCATTCATTACAAGGTTCTTCGAGACCCACCTTTTGAAGAGGCCTCACAGTCTAAGATCTCTAGTCACCACAGGCGATTTATAGACACGTAAGTTTTTGTTTCCCATGCGCGACGCAATAACTGTTCTCTTACATGCCAATCTAACAAATATACCATATGACCAAACATCTAGGGACATCTCTCCAAATGATTTAGTTTAGGTGTTGCCAGTGAAGGGTACTATTGATGCTACAGCATACACTAGGTCACTAGGGAGATTTCCTTGACCAAGGTACACTAGGTCATAGCATGGTTTTGCCATGACCGTGCGCTTGTATATAAAGCTACGTTCATGAAGACTCAGTTTGACAAGTTTGGTGTGGAGCAATTTAGGGACCTGTACAGAGACCAGGTCTTCTCCTTAATTCCTGACCTTACAAATGCTCCTTTAGCTAAATGGGAACAAATGTTCGGACGCACTCCGAAATCTTGTAAGAAACCTTCCCAGAAGAGTGGAGGCTGTTACAGCTGCAAAGGTGGGCTCAACTCCATATTAATTGCCAAGATTTTAGTTATGATGGTCAGGCGTCCACAAACGTGTGGCCATATTGTTCATTGCGTAATATGCTGGTGGTGTTCTTAACTGCATCATACTTATCGTATAAGCAGCCTTCTAGGGTGTTTAAGGGGCTGAAATGGACCCAATACTGGATCCCGATTTCAAATCCTCCCTGTACAAGCTTTGGACAGTTTCAGATTGGCAACACCCGTAGAACAGAGGGTATTCACCTGTCCGATATTGGTTACATCACATCTGATGCATTTGATAGGGAAGCTAGAGGTGATGTTGTGATATGGCTTATGGCAATCCCCTTTCTGAGGCTCGGTTTGACCTTCAGCAAGTCGCCTTCACCACGTCTAGATGCCTAAATGCATTTAGTTGCTGCCAAGTGATTGGCTGATCAGCTATTTGTGTAAGGTCTCATTCACACGGGAAACGGCCGGCACGTACAGGTCCCTGCTGCGTGCATGGCCGTATAGGGCAGCTCCCGGGAAGGACAGGCGCTTTAGTACGCAGCCCCTGTCCTTCTCTATGGGAGCACGCGGCTGTACGCTGCCCTCACTCACCCAGAGTGCAGGTCTGTATGGGTGCGGGTTTCCCGGTGTAACGTACCCCCTAATCCTCTATGTTACGGTTCTCAGCTGGTTCAATACAAGCTAGTAGGAATACAGTCCCTAGGTACTCGGTTTGTAGTCAGAGAGAGAGTCAATCAATCAAGCGGTATAAGATTGCGGTTGTGAAAATCCCATTATAGGGTACTTGCGTTTGAAGATCCAGACAAGGTATGGAGGCGAGCTGGCCCTGAGAAGGAGGTCCCAGGTAGTCTGGTTCCAGGATTGCAGGTTAAGGTGAGTAGAGGCGTCGGGGGGCTACAGGGCGCTAGGTCCTCAATTGTGGAACGCCGCATCAGCCTCATGTACTGCCTTAAATAGCCCGCGATCACGGAGGTGGGACGCGCGGAAACGCCCGGCGGCTTCTGCGTTCCACCCTGGAACGCAACGCGTCACGTCCCACGGGGAGGAGCCGTAGAGACTCTCCCCTTAGCATCGCGCTCCAGCGTGGAACGCACGCGGGAACCCCCCGTAGGTCTTACACCCGGCTCGGATCCATCCTGTCAGCGTACAAGTACGTGCACCCGCACGAGCGTGCAGGGCGGGTGAGCATAGGGCCTGCGTACGGCCGCGTATTCCCATAGAGAAGGACAGGTTGCTGCGTACTAATCACACGGGAGCTGCATGTGCCGGCCGTTTCCCGTGTGAATACGGCCGCACAAGCCATTGAACAGGTGTACCTAATAAAGTGGCCGGTGAGTGTATGTCAGCCAGCACTGTAAGCGTAGTAACCCGTAATAGATAAATAAATCATAGACAGAATAATTCCCGTTTGCATATCATCTCATTAAAAAAAAAACACCATAAAATCCGGAATGCGAGAAGTTACAATGAACCTAAAATGCAAATAATTAGTTTTATAGTTCGGAAAGCCTCTCATTGGTAATCCCGTGTATCCCAGGATGAATTTCATTAACAATGTATCAGTTCGGATTTCTTCTGCTCCGTATTATTCTTCTTTTGTCTGACGAGTCGCTCTTGTACAAGCTTGACCTGTTTGAAAGGATTTCCGATACCCATCCAGGCCTGTTTTATAAGCATCCAAATGTAACTCTCAAAACTAATTAAGGTCTAAGCCGCGATCCAACAATGCCCTGTAATGAGATAATGGTCCCAAATCTTTCATTTAAGTCTTTCTTTTTTTTTTATGAAAAGACTTAAAGCTAAAAGGAAATTTGCATAAATGTTTTACTTCCTCGTTTCCTCCTCTCTCCGCCCTCGTCAGGATGATCATTCAATTTTTTAAAGGAGAGCGAACACATACCGTGAGAATCCACATACTGGATTCCCCCCTCCCCGCTCCGATCCGCCAGCGCTGACTGGCAGATCGGACAAGGGAGGGGGCGGGTACAGCTGGCGAGCCAGCTGTCACTCACGCAGCTGGGCGGATCCCGGCACAATTGTCGGGATCCGCTTCAGCATGCGGCGTCTCAGAATACCGCGAGCTGTAGCTCCCTATATACTGAGCTTAGGGTGACGGGAGTACGCTAGTTTTTGTCCTCCCGTTACCCTAAGGAGAACTATGGGGAAAAGCCCTGACCCCATAGTTCTCCTTTAATCTATTTTTCAGAACGTTGTCATCATGCCTCACTGTATACAGTTTTGTTAGGCAAACCAGTTTTGTGAATCTGTTTCCTACCTGGAGCCTGCAAATCAACCTACCATGTGAGCGCCTTCAGTTGGGCATTGGCCAACTCAAGGATCAAGGCAAGGATCAGCCAGGAGAGAGAGCGAGGAGAGACAGCCAAGGGAGAGTGATGAGAGACAGCTAGGAGAGAGAGTGAGTAGAGACAGCCAGTAGAGAGAGAGAAGAGACTGCCAGGAGAGAGAGCAAAGAGAGACAGCCAGGGGAGAAAGTGAAAAGAGACAGCGAGGAGAGACAGCCAAGGGAGAGTGATGAGAGACAGCTAGGAGAGAGAGTGAGTAGAGACAGCCAGTAGAGAGAGAGAAGAGACTGCCAGGAGAGAGAGCAAAGAGAGACAGCCAGGGGAGAAAGTGAAAAGAGACAGCCAGGAGAGAGAGCGGGGAGAGACAGCCAAGGGAGAGTGATGAGAGACAGCTGCGAGAGAGAGTGAGTAGAGACAACCAGTGGAGAGAGAGGACAGACAGCCAGGGGAGATAGTGAAAAGAGACCGCCAGGAGAGAAAGCGAGGAGAGACACCCAAGGGATAGAGAGGAAAGACAGCCAGGAGAGAGTGGAGAGAGACAGCCAGAGGAGAGAGAGAAGAGACAGCCAGGAGAGAGAGAGAGTGAGAGGAGAGACAGCCAGGAGAGAGTGAGAGGAGAGACAGCCAGGAGAGAGAGTGAGAGGAGAGAGAGCCAGGAGGGAGTGAGAGGAGAGACAGCCAGGCCTCCCACCATGTGCTATGGTTCCTCCCACTGGCCCCTACCTTACTGCAGGATATAGTAGTGACATAGGGGGCTGTCTTATAGAACCATAGAGTGCAGTGGAAATAGGATGCAGGCAAATATTGCTGGTGATGAGGTCTCTTTAATAGAATAAAACAAAGGGGCCTCTCACATTGATGGTGTCATTGACGTTCTGTCCTTAAATGACCTCTACGGGGATGAGCTTGAAACAAAGAGTACACTTAATCCATGCATTACCCTTTGGGGCCTCCTTTTCCTCCTGTCATAATAACCGGAATGAATGTGCACCCGGCGATGGGAACGTCTTCTCTGATACAGATTTTCCCATGTAGCATAGCTTCCACACTTTGCACAGTTCCTGCTGAAGTCAGATAAACTTTTATTTTCCCGGGGCACATTTTTCTTGAATGGTCCAAAGAAAATTGAACTTGGACTCCGGACAAATAGCTGGAGACTCAGATGAAATACATATATGGGAGCTCATTTACCCACCAAAGGAGTTGTATTGCTGTCCATCCAGAGATTTACACAGCTCTGCCACACAGCACACCCCTATCTGGCAGGGGACCTGATTTTCGTCTATTGCAATCAGGTAACACTTAGAGGTCTTCTCCCTCTTCCAGCCTGTGACTGGGCAAAAGGAGAACTGATGGGCTCAGATCTCCGTCAATCTGCTTTCTACAGTTTGGCCCCTGAGAACACTATAGCTACCATGGGATGAATATAAATCTTGTGCGGAACCTCTGGAGAACCCTCATGGAACCCAAGGGGAGCCTTTGGGAGTCATGCCTTTGTCTGTTAGAGTCATGCAATGCCCCATGGGACTTGTAGTGTCACCACAACTGGAGTGCCAAGGTTTCCTACCTCTCATCCATAGTCTAAAACCAGGATTTCTCAACCAGGGTTCTACAGAACACGTGAGTTCTATGAGAGTTCTATGAGAGGTCTCCAGGGGTTCTGCCATAGCAGCTGATTTATATTCATCCCATGATACCTCTAGTGTTCCTCGGTGGCTACCACTGACTGAGTACCGCTGAGCCGATTGGTGTCAGCCTCGATGGTACGCTTAAAGTTCCAGCTGTTAAGGTCACCACACTGAGCCAGCAGAACAGGACAAAAGTGGCTGGTCTACCCCGGGAACCTTCAGCCTGCAGAAGATACGTCAGAATGACCATATAAGGCAAAGTGAGCAAATTGTGACACCATATTTACCGTGCCGTGAGCTGCAGATCAGAAGATTAGTTTAGGGGTTCCCAGAGAAGTGGCTCCTCTCCGATATTTCATGGAATCTATATCTGGGGTGGATGAGGAGAATGGAGAGAATGTGGAATCTTCTTCTGTAGTTTTATTATTAGTTCTCTAATGGCATCTAGCTTCTCCTCTAGATCATCCTTTTTTAACGTGGGCTCTGTGGAACCCTAGGTAACCCTAGGGACTCCTTGGCAGATGACACTTTCAGCCCCTCTGAAATCATGTCAAGTGATGGAACTAAAGATGTAACTAGGGGTTAGATATCCCCCAATGATAGCTATCTAGAGGGGCATTCTTCCCCCTGAGCACTGTTC